CTCTCAGAACTGCTTTTGCTGCATCCCATAGATTTTGTGTTGTTGTGTGTTCATTTTCATTAGTATCCAGGAAGTTTTTAATTTATTCCTTGATCTCCATGGCAACCCATTCATTGTTCAATAATATGCTATTTAGCCTCCATATTTTCAAATGTCTTTGCATGTTCTTGTTGCAATTGATTTCTAGTTTCATGACATTGTGATCTGAGAAGAAGCTTGATATAATTTCAATCTTCTTGAACTTGTAGAGATTTAGTTTGTGTCCTATCATGTGGTCTATCTTTGAGAATGTCCCATGTGCACTTGAGAAGAATGTAAATTCTGCAGTTTTTGGGTATAATTCTCTGTAGATATATAATAAATCCATTTGATCTAGTGCTTCATTTACAGTCTGTGTTTTCTTGTTAATTTTTTGTCTAGAAGATCTATCCAGTGATGTCAGCAGGTGTTGAAGTCCCCTGCTATGATTGTATTGCTGTCGATTTCTCCTTTGAAGTCCTCTAGAAATTTTTTAATATATATTGGTGCTCCTATATTGGGTGCATATATGTTTACCAAGGTTATATCTTCCTGTTGGATAGATCTTTTCAGTGTTATGTAGTGGTCTTCCTGGTCTCTAGTTGTGGTCTTCATTTTGAAATCTACTTTATCAGATATGAGTATTGCTACCCCAGCTTTTTTTTTTCCTTTCCATTTGCTTGGAAAATGTTTTTCCATCCCTTCACTTTCGACCTATGTGTCTTTTGTTGTGAGGTGGGTCTCTAGTAAACAACATATATGTGAGTCATGCTTTCTTATCCAGTCAGCTACTCTGTGTCTTTTTATAGGAGCCTTCAGTCCATTTTCATTTAAGGTCATAATTGATATGTACGTATTTATTGCCATTTTTGTTTAGCATGGTTCTATCTTTCTTCCTATTTCTTCTACTAATTATGGCAGTCCTTTTAGCATATCTTACAATGCTGGTTTGGTGTTAATATGTTCCCTTAGCCTCTTTTTGTCTGGAAAGCTCATTATTTGACCTTGTGTTTTGAATGATAGCCTTGCTGAATAGAGTAGTCTTGGATTCAGATCCTTGTTTTTCATGATCTTGATTACTTCATGCCATTCCCTCTGTCCTGTAGTGTTTCTTGTGAGAGGTCAGCTGAGACCTTATGGGGTTTCCTTTGTAGGTAACCTGTTGCTTATCCCTTGCTGCCTTTAGGATTCTCTTTGTCTTTAAATTTTGGCATTTTAATTACTATATGTCTTGGTGTGGGCCTGTTTGGGTTCTTCTTGGGGCTTTCTGTGCTTATTGAACTTGAATGTCTTCTTCCTTCACCATGTTAGGGAAGTTTTCTGTCACTATTTCTTCAAATATATTCTCCAACCCTTGCCCATTTTCTTCCTTTTTGGGGCATCCTATGATATGAATGTTATTACGTTTCCAGTTGTCTCACAGGTCTCTTAAGCTGTCTTCCTGTTTTTTAATTGTTTTTTTCCTTTTGTTTTTCTGAATGGTTGATTTTTTCTACCCTGTCTTCTAATTCACTGATCCGGTCATCAGCTTTTTCTACTCTGCTGGTTAGTCCTTCCAATGTGTTCTTTATTTCTGCTATGTCATTCTTTATTTTCACTTGGTTGTCTTTCAGTGTTTGTATATCTTTACTCATGGTGCTGATGTCCTTATTCATGCTGTTGAACTTCCTCAAGATCATGGCTCTGAACTCTACCTCTGATAATTTGCTTAACTGCATTTCATTTATCTCATCTTCGATAGAGTTCTCTTGTTCTTTCATTTGGAATTTGTTTCACCATTTTGGCTATGTCCGTGGGTTTTGGAGCCTGCCAAATTTTCCCTGTGGGTGTTGGTGGTCTGTTATTTGTGGCTCCCTCTGCTGGGTGTGGATGGGCCTGGGCAGGCCCACATTAAACACCACTGCCAAGTCTTACTTTCCTGGGTAGATTTGCAAGCCCAGGAAAGGTTCAGTTCTCCTCTAGCTTTTTCCTGGAGGCTACTAGTCTGTTACTCAGTGCCTTGGAATGTAGCCCTGGTGTTCTGCATAAGAGGATTTCCAGCAGGTGGGATGGAATCTGGTTGTTAATGAGCCTCAATTCATTTCTTTGCCTCACCTGGGAAAGGCTGAATCTCTGAGGGGTGGACTGCTGCTTTTCCCCATAGCTCTGGGAAGGAGCTCTCTGGCCACTGTCCTTTGTGGCTGCAACTCAGCAAAAACTCTCCAAATCCTGGTTGTCCCCACAGCGTTCCATCCCAGTCTGCCCTCCCTCTGCCAGGTGAGTGGTTGTAACTATTTTAGTGCTCTGTCCCGCCTCTCTGCACTATGGAGCAGGCTTGACCTTTATTCCCCAAGGGCACTGCTCACAGCTAAGACTGCTTCTGTCCGTGGGCTCCCAGCCTGCCACCCTCTCGTGCCTCTGCAGATCCTACCAGTGTCCCTGGTTATATGTCCTGTCCTGCTGCTTTTCTGTTGTTGTTTTTTCCCATGGATTTGTCTTTATTTTAGTTGTAATTCCTATTTGGTCCTGGAAGATTGTCTGTGTAACTTCCATTCACTCTGCCTCCGTTTTCACATCCTCTATGCCTATCTTGTGCGCAGCTGGGTCGCACAGGTCTCTCTGGTGCCCCCACACCCTGCAGGTCCCTTGATTAACTGGATCGTACATTCCCTTTGGGGACCTGGCTCTATGCCTATGTTATGGGCTGCTCTGTGGCACAGGCCTCTCTGATGCTTCAGCACCCCACAGGTCCTGCAGGTAACTAGATCGCACAGTCCTTGCTGGGTCGCACAAGCCTCTCGGGTGTCCCTGCAGGTCCTGCGGAGGGTAGCTGGATCGCACCAGTCTCTCTTGGGCTCCAGCTTCCCAATGCTCTTGTGAGTTGCTGGATGGCACTGGCCTCTGTGGAGCCCCAGGTCCCGCAGCTGGCGGCTAGGGAGTGCTGCTGCCCTGTGGAGCTCAACTCCTGCTCAGCTTTTGCTGTCATTTTTGGGGATGGGTCTTAGCTGCTGATCTGTGCTCCTGTTGCCTGGGGATGGATGTCTGCTCCCCAGCCTCTGTTGCTGGGGGTATATCTCGACTCTGATCAGGCTGCTACTATGGGGGATGGTCCCGGGCTCCCGGCTGTCCACAGCTTCCGCGACCAGCACCTTGGGAACTCCACTACTGCACACTGGTCTGTGTTGACACAGTGTATCCACTGGGCCGATGGTGCCAGGTGCACTGGTGGCCTCAGGTTGCTGGGCCCTAGCTGCTCCCACTGCCTCCTTCCAGGGAAGACTAGGGATCTTCCAAAATGATGGGACCTCCCCGAGGCGCAGGGATAAGTACCCTGAAGAATCACCACAGTAGCCAGCTGCTCCTGTCCACAGCACAGGAACCTTCTGCTCGGCATCTCTGCACTGCACGAGTTTGGTTGTCCACCTTCAGATCCACTCACACTCTCTCACACACTCACCCTCCCTCTAGCCCTGCCCACTGCCATATTTTAAGATATATAAAATATTTGAAATAAAATTATAGAGGTGGAGAACAGATAAGTGGTTTCCAGAAGAGTTGTGTGTGTGTGGGGGGGGGGGGGTGTGCGGGTATGACTGTAAGTGGGCAGCACAAGGGATCTTGGTGATCATGGAACATGTTTGTATCTCGATCGCGGCAGTGGTTATGCCAATCTATACATAATAACTTGCATAGAACTAAACATACATACACAAATGAGTGCATGTAAAACTAGTAAAATCTGAATAAGATTTGTGGATTGTACCAATGTCATTTTCATAGTTCTGTTCTTATAAATAGTTATGTAAGACATTACTATTAAAAAAGTGGGTGAAGGGTATAGAGAACTTCTCTGTGCTATTTTTGGAATTTCCTATAAATCTGTTATTATTGCCCTGGCCAGTTTGGCTCAGTGGTTAAAGCGTCGGCCTGCGGTCCAGAGAGACCCCGGTTCGGTTCCCGCTAAGGGCACATACCTTGGTTGCAGTTTGTCCCTGGCCCTGGTTGGGTCGTGAGGGTGGCAACCACTCGATGTGTCCTTTTCATGTTGATGTTTCTCTCTCTCTCTCCCTCCCACTCAATATGAACAAAAAAATGGAAAAATGTCCTTGGGTGAGGATAAAAAAAAAAAAAATTTTAATCTGTAATTATTTTCAAATATAAAGAAGAAATTATATAAGAACACTAATATACTTCTTAAATAACAGCTTTTTGCAAATGTTGGTTTATTATAATATTGTACAGTAACCACTCGGAGTGAATTATTTTGATTGGAAATTATTGTTTTTCTCTGTAGAATCAAACTTTTCAAGAGTTTCTATTATTAAATAGAAAAGATGGGGTGTAAATACAAATTGCTTTCAGTAGTCAACTAAAATTCTGAATTGAGGGAATCGAGTTTTCTTCCTTCATGGGTAATTACTATTTTTTTTTTTTTTTTTAGTTAAGGTTGGTTTCAGTAAGATTAAGATCCTCCCCAATGGAAAACAACATATATTAAACAATACATAGAAAGTAATAATAACACTTCAACTTAGCTTACACACATTTAAGCCTCAGATTAACACTTTGCTACTAATTTTTAAATATTCCTATTTTACTGATGAGGACAATATTACAGGGAGTAATATTGCACCAGGTTAGCTTTGTATTATAGTTAAATTTGCAGATATCTTTTAAGTAACATACTTTGTTCTTTTAAAACATGTCTTTGATTAAAATAGTATTATCTGAATTAATGTCATTTGCATTAGCTTGATGAACTATTTGTTCTATTTAAAGAACTATTTTCACTTGTATTTTTTTTTATCACAAAACAGAACACTATTTTGAAAATTATGTCTTTACATTGAGTTGAAACAAGATAACAAGAGAGAGAGAAAGACATCTGAAGCGAAAGGAATAGGTTGAAATTTAGCTTACCACAGGTTTTCAAAAGCAAAAATATCTGCTCTTTAAAGTTCTCATCGTTAAGCCCTCATCTTTAATGTCATTTTTATAACCAGAGTGATCTGCACCATCCCAGAGGCAACACCAAGTTCAGAAAACGAACAAAAGCGCCAGGCACTAAGGGTAGAGGGAGAATTTCGCCAACCTACACGCACAGCCTCTCACAGGTGGGTGAGCATGTCGAGGAGGTCTCAGCTGGCGCCTGGGCTCCCTGTGACTTCCGGGGCGCTGTGAGGAGAGTGCGCGGGCACTTCCGGGCGGGCAGCGTCTCGAGATGCCTCATCAAGCACTTCCGGGTAACAGGTGGTAACGGGAGCTGTTCCTTAGCTGGTCTCTTCTGTTGTAGCTGTGACGCACAGTGGAAGTCGCTGTAGCCTTGAGCAATGGCATCTCGGTATGACCGGGCGATCACTGTCTTCTCCCCAGATGGACACCTCTTCCAAGTGGAATATGCCCAGGAAGCAGTGAAGAAAGGATCCACCGCGGTGAGCGAGCAACTTCTTCACCACTGCCCTCTGCCCCATGTACCCCGCTGTCTCTGCCCACCACTCAGTGTAGGCACACAGGAAAGGGAGTCTCCTAGTGAAAATTATGTCGTTCCTTTTGTTGAGGGAGATGACAAAAAATTTAGAGTAAAAGTTGGTAGATTTCATAGGCTTCTGTTGTACAACTGCCCTTGTTTAATGATAGCCACAGGCACGTGCATGCACGTGTGTGTGTGTGCGTGTGTGTTTTAGAAGCCTTGACTGTAGAAGAGATAATGGTGTTTCCGACAATAAGAAAAGTTTTCTTTAAGCCTCTAAAAGCATACTGGAATGCACATGGCCTATGTCAGGATTTCACATATGCATGGAAAAGGAACAGTTTCTTCAAATGGGGAGGTGTTGTTTAATCATAATTATAATAAAAATTAAAAACTGATCAAGCTTGTCCCTGATAAAGAGACTAAGTCAATGTAAAGTTAAATCTGTTGGTGAGGATAGGCTAAACCACTTATCAAACACTTTCACTTATTAAAAATTATTGTCCTAATATTTGCATCTGAATATTTGGCAGCCTGTTAGAGACTCTAAGCTCCAAGCGTCTCCTCTCTGCCAGCTTTTTTGGCTTGGTTTTTAAATAATTCTGAAATTTTTTGCGAGATTATATCCTTCTTTAAATTTACATATCCACATTTCTAAAAAACTTGTATTTATTTTTTTATCCTCATCCGAGGACATTTTTCCATTTTTTATTCAGATAGAGTGGGAGGGAGAGAGAGAGAGAAAGAGACATTGATTTTGAGTGGCTGCCTCCTGCATAACCCAACCCGGGCCTGGGACAAACTGATTGAGGTACGTACCCTTAGCGGGAACCGAACCCAGGTCTCTCTGGACTGCAGGCCGATGCTCTAACCGCTGAGCCAAACTGGCCAGAGCTCTAAAAAAACTTTCAAATACTCAAGGTAGCTGTACTATTCCTGCCAAGTTTTAGATATGTTTAATAATTTTATGGTTTATAAAAATTAAAAATGACAAAAATGCTCTGATGAGCAAAGATCAGTTATTCCAAATCTTGCAAGTCCTAGTGTTTGATTTAGAAGTATCCTGTTTTTTAATCTTGGAAACTGTCATGAGGAAGTTTGTTGTGCATTTTAGAATTTGAAACACCAGCTATAAGAATACACAGTTCATTTCTAAGTGTAGCAGTGTCTGTATTTTCTCTTACTATCCATACCAACTTAGTTGTAAAAGGAAATAATTCACTTTTATTATAAATACATCAAATGTAAAGTGGTTAAAAAAAACACACTGGAAAGAATCTTATCTTTTTTTAAAGTATTTTTCTATTTAATGGGGCCCACTAGTTTTGCTTCTGTTTTGTAAGTAATTTTTTTTAGAACTGTAAATTTAAGAAAAGCCTGATGTAGCTTAAACCAAAAGGGTACCATTTTGATAAAAACAAAAAGTTATATAATCCCCAGCATGGTATGAAGCATATGGTTAGAAAATAATGCCTAAGTTTTAGAACCTAAAATGAAGGGAGTAATGGGGAAAGACTAGGGTATAATAAGAAACCACATTGGCTCATTTAAAATGTTTTAGAATGCTATAGAACTGATTGATAGTTCCTTTGTAATGAGCTGTAAAAGGGTAAGGATATAAAAATATCTATATTGGGCATTTTTAAAGATACATTGGAAGGATAAGACAATTTTGTCTCAGGATTCTGAAATTATAATTTGCATTTTTGTATGGAGTTATTGATTGTATTTCCTTGAGGGTGCTATGACCTTTTACATGGGGTAAAGTTTATAGTAGCACTTGTTTATTAAAATACGTCACAAAATAATCTGTCTATAAATGATATTTGATATGGTGAATTATAAATAAGCCAAGGTTGGCCAGTTTTGACCAATATGTGAATATGATAATATTTAATAATACAAAAAGTTATATGGGCCACAATTAGAGGCCTTGGGTTTTACCTCTTTCTTTTTTTAAAAATCCTCATTCAAGGACATTTTTTCTTTTTTTGTTCAGATAGAGTGGGAGGGGGAGAGAGAGAAAGAATCATCAACGTGAAAGGGATACATCGAGTGGCTGCCTCCTGCACAACCCAACCAGGGCCGGGACAAACTGCAACCGAGGTTTACCTCTTTCTTAGTAATTATTTTACAGCATGAAGTGAGAGGCCTGTTTTCTTGTTAGTGCCCTTTTCTATAAATGAAAAACATCTCTGAATAATGTTTTGGAGAGGTAATACCTTTCTTCTTGGGAAAAATATGAATCCTTCATAATATTCTGATGTAAAAGATAAGATTTATTATCATTCCTCATTCTGTCTTTTCCTTGACCCTAAACTGTTATTAGCTCCATATTTCCTACTTTATCAAATCTCAGCTCCACAGTCTGACTATCAAAGTCTTTTATAATCCTTACCCACCCTTTTTAATTAAGGGGGCAGCTTCATGGTTTCACTGATATATGCTTCTGCCCTTGTAGGAGGGGAGAGGAGAAAACACCTTTCTTTCTGCTACTCTCTGTCTTTACTTTTCCTCCAGGATCACACATTTCTCCTTCATAGAGCCATCTCTGATCCACTCCAGTCATCATGGATATTTGTCTTCTATAATCTGTAACACAGAGCATTATACGGTATTTACTATTTGGGTTTATATTCTCTTTAATTTTAGGTATATAATAGTCTTCTCAAACCAACTGGATAGTAAGATCTTTGAGAATCTAAATGATGTAATTCCTTGTGTATTTCTACTACATGGTATATAGTGGAGAGGCTAGGAAGGATGTAGACTAACAGTACTTTGTATCAAGTATTTTATGTACATTATCTAATGTAAAGGAGAGGTTTAAGCCCCTTTTATATATGTGGAATCTATAATTCAGAGCTTTCATAGTTTGCTGAAGGTACTTAGCTAAAAACTGATGGAGCAGAGCCCATATTCATACTTAAATGTTTCTAATTCCGGAGCCTCTGCTTTTTGCATTGTAACATACAGTTTATTCAATAAATATTTGTATATTAGTTATCATTATTGTAAATGTGGAACCCAGATATGTATCATGTAAGGCAATCCACTTTTTTAAGGTTCCAGTTCTTTAACAGTGAAATAGGCACTTGCTTCATAGGGTTCATGTGACAGTTGAATGAAATAATAATACATGTTATGTATCTTCCACAATGTTTGGTTCACAGCAAGTAATAGCTATTATTATTTACTATCCCTTTGTTTTCTTTTTTTCCTTTAGTGTCTGTGGTTCTTCTAACACATTCATTTATTATTTCAAGACATTTTTGTTGAACACTTACATCTGCCAAATGTGGTTCAGGACCCTAGGATTTCATAATAAGCAAGAGAAGCTCCTATCCTTGGAGAGCTCACTCTCTAGCAGGAATGTTAGATGATCAAATAAATAGTTCTAACAAAGCCTAAATCAGTATTATAATGGGGATGAGGGGAGTATGGGACATTATGGGAACTCTAGATGTTAGGAAAGTCCCCTGAGGAAGTAATATAAACATCTGAGAGATGAAAGATAACCAGGTGAAAAATGGAAGGAGAAAGAGGGAAGATTATTTTAGACAAAGGAAATAGTATGTGGGAAGACCAAGCAGCAAAAGACTACTATATTCTACGAACTGGAAGCCATTTGGGATTTCTGAAGCAATGGAAAAATGGGACATGATGAGCTAGAAATGGGCCAGATCATGGAATGCCTTTAAGAGAATAATAGCTAGGCCTTGAAGAGTTTTGATGTGGTTATTTTCATTCTCTAGATTATTGCTGTTCTGTCTTTCTAATAACAGACAGTATTTGTCCAACCACAGAGGTATTCCCATGATCCAGGTAGAATCAGCTTTTGTCTTCCTGGCTATAGTAATGAACATGTGTATCAAATCTAGCCAATATAAATCTGTTCTTAGGAATTTTTTAACTAGAGATAGTGGTAGCTTTTTTCTCTAGGAGACTGTTAGGATGTTAATCCAGGTTGCTGGTGGCCATCATTTTTTCTGTACAGAGAAAGCCTCTCTGCATTAAGAGTAAAATTACAGTCCTAGATCCTTTTGTTTCTAAGCCAGCTCTATGTTTTATTAGTTTTCCTAGTGAAAAATGGTCCTTACTAATATAGGTTTCTAAAAAATACATGTTTTTATTGATTTTTTTAGAGAAAAAGGAAAGAAGAGAGAGAGAGAGAAACATCAACGTGTGAGAAAAACATGGATCAGTTGACTGCTGCACATTCCCTACTGGGGATGAAGCCCAAAACCTGGGCATGTGCTCTGACCAGGAATCTAACCTGTGACCTCTCAGTGCATAGGACAATGCTCAACCAACCAAGCCACACCTGTCAGGGCACTAATACAGGCTTTAAGTAGAGTAATGCCACATTCAGATTATTATTTTTCTCATATTTTAATTTTTTTCAAAGATTTCTCAGACTACAATGTGGTCAGTGGATTGGATGAAATCAAGGCTGAAGCAGGGATACCACATAGAGGTCTCTAGAAGTAGTCCAGATAAAAGATGATAGTCATTTTTACTAGGATTGGGCACAAATAGAAATAAAGCAGATTCCGGATAAACTTTAGCAGTACAGTTGATACAATATAATGATCATTTAGATGATATTGGGGGGCAGGGATAGAAGGTTATTGAAGAGGGAGGAGTCAAAGATAGTACCTTCGTTTCTGAATTTCGCCTCTTACTAAGTGGTACTGTCATTTTCTTAGGGAATATGAAGCACTAAGTTTGCGAGGAAGATGGCTGAGGTTTGGACTTGCTGAGATTGAGATGCTTATGGGAACTGGAGTAGGCAGCCTCTAAAATGGTCAACAGTGATCCCCATGTCCTGGTGTTCTTGCCCTTGTGTAATCCTTTCCCCTTGAGTGTGGGCAAAGGTAGTGACTTGCTTCTAAGGGATGGGATAGGCAGAAGTGATGGGATGTCTATCAGAGATTAGGTCACAAAGAAATGGTGACTTAA